GTTCTAGTTCTAGTTCAGTTCTAGTTTAGTTTTAGTTCAGTTTTAGTTCAGCTCTAGTTCAGTTCTAGTTCAGTTCTAGTTCAGTTCTAGTTCAGTTCTAGTTCAGTTCTAGTTCAGTTCTAGTTCAGTTCTAGTTCAGTTCTAGTTCAGTTCTAGTTCAGTTCAGTTCTAGTTCAGTTCTAGTTCAGTTCTAGTTCAGTTCTAGTTCAGTTCTAGTTCAGTTCTAGTTCAGTTCTAGTTCAGTTCTAGTTCAGTTCCAGTTCAGTTCTAGTTCAGTTCTAGTTCAGTTCTAGTTCAGTTCTAGTTCTAGTTCAGTTCTAGTTCAGTTCTAGTTCAGTTCTAGTTCAGTTCTAGTTCAGTTCTAGTTCAGTTCTAGTTCAGTTCTAGTTCAGTTCTAGTTCAGTTCTAGTTCAGTTCTAGTTCAGTTCTAGTTCAGTTCTAGTTCAGTTCTAGTTCAGTTCTAGTTCAGTTCTAGTTCAGTTCTAGTTCAGTTCTAGTTCAGTTCTAGTTCAGTTCTAGTTCAGTTCTAGTTCAGTTCTAGTTCAGTTCTAGTTCAGTTCTAGTTCAGTTCTAGATCAGTTCTGGTTCAGTTCTAGTTCAGTTCTAGTTCAGTTCTAGTTCAGTTCTAGTTCAGTTCTAGTTCAGTTCTAGTTCAGTTCTAGTTCAGTTCTAGTTCAGTTCTAGTTCAGTTTAGTTCAGTTCTAGTTCAGTTCTAGTTCAGTTCTAGTTCAGTTCTAGTTCAGTTCTAGTTCAGTTCTAGTTCTAGTTCAGTTCTAGTTCAGTTCTAGTTCAGTTCTAGTTCAGTTCTAGTTCAGTTCTAGTTCAGTTCTAGTTCAGTTCTAGTTCAGTTCTAGTTCAGTTCTAGTTCAGTTCTAGTTTAGTTCTAGTTCAGTTCTAGTTCAGTTCTAGTTCAGTTCTAGTTCAGTTCTAGTTCAGTTCTAGTTCAGTTCTAGTTCAGTTCTAGTTCAGTTCTAGTTCAGTTCTAGTTCAGTTCTAGTTCTAGATCTCGTTCAGTTCTAGATCTAGTTCAGTTCAGTTCTCGTTCAGTTCTAGTTCAGTTCTAGTTCAGTTCTAGTTCAGTTCTAGTTCAGTTCTAGTTCAGTTCTAGTTCTAGTTCAGTTCTAGTTCAGTTCTAGTTCAGTTCTAGTTCAGTTCTAGTTCAGTTCTAGTTCAGTTTAGTTCAGTTCTAGTTCAGTTCTAGTTCAGTTCTAGTTCAGTTCTAGTTCAGTTCTAGTTCAGTTCTAGTTCAGTTCTAGTTCAGTTCTAGTTCAGTTCTAGTTCAGTTCTAGTTCAGTTCTAGTTCAGTTCTAGTTCAGTTCTAGTTCAGTTCTAGTTCAGTTCTAGTTCAGTTCTAGTTCAGTTCTAGTTCAGTTCTAGTTCAGTTCTAGTTCAGTTCTAGTTCAGTTCTAGTTCAGTTCTAGTTCAGTTCTAGTTCAGTTCTAGTTCAGTTCTAGTTCAGTTCTAGTTCAGTTCTAGTTCAGTTCTAGTTCAGTTCTAGTTCAGTTCTAGTTCAGTTCTAGTTCAGTTCGTTCAGTTCTAGTTCAGTTCTAGTTCAGTTCTAGTTCAGTTCTAGTTCAGTTCTAGTTCAGTTCTAGTTCAGTTCTAGTTCAGTTCTAGTTCAGTTCTAGTTCACTTCTTGTTCAGTTCTAGTTCAGTTCTAGTTCAGTTCTAGTTCAGTTCTAGTTCAGTTCTTGTTCAGTTCAGTTCTAGTTCAGTTCTAGTTCAGTTCTAGTTCACTTCTAGTTCAGTTCAGTTCAGTTCTAGTTCAGTTCTAGTTCACATCTAGTTCAGTTCAGTTCTAGTTCAGTTCTAGTTCAGTTCTAGTTCAGTTCTAGTTCAGTTCTAGTTCAGTTCTAGTTCAGTTCTAGTTCACTTCTAGTTTAGTTCTAGTTCAATTCTTGTTCAGTTCTACTTATAATTTTATACGAGAAACCATTTTTAGTACTATTAGTACAACCTAGCCAATTCCCATTACATATCCAATGCAACAACCCCCTATTATCATAAACTGTTTTACTTTTCCTTAAGGTATGCTATTGATATTATTTAGAGCAATGCATTTTGTGGCAAACCATTATTAAAACTAGTATTACAGTTTATAACACAAAACACATGTCAGCATTGTCGCACCTGAAAATAATGCATATTTTATGCTTAATAATTAAATGTATTAAGTCCAAAACAAAAACGTTAAACTTTTATATAAAATATTTTCTATTTAGTTAAAGCTTAATTTGTTTAGAATTATAAACAATTTATATAATTTCTGAAAAAAATGTTTGTAGAATAGTCTGTAAATTATGTAAAAATGCACATAGAACTTTTTGCAATAAAGTCGTTGAAATATTTATAAGTGTAGTATTAAACTGATATAAATAATAAAATTAGTTTTATCTATTTTAATTACCTAAGTACATATGGTAAAAATAGTATTAGTTAGGAAGTATACATTTTATTTGCATTTTTAAAATCATTTACATTTTACTATAAATACATGTTTTAATATTTAAACGACATATATTTTATTTAAAATACATTTTAAATTTAATTCTTCAACCAATATTAAACTATTACCTAGAGTATTGCATCATATTTTATGGAATTAATTACAGACAATATTTGTTGGCGTAATTACTTTTTATTAGTTTTTGTTAAACTAAATCACGATAATTTTTTTTTAATAGGCAAACAAAATAAAACTAAACACAGCCAATAATTTATGCCATGAACTTTTTTAATAAATTTTAGGTGGCGAACTTATTAAATACTTTTATCAATTTAGAAAAAAAAAATTAATTAATAAAATTCATAGGCTATTAACATAACAAATCGTGTATAAACAAATGAAAATTGTTATAATTAATTAATTTTACTAATTTTTTTTTTGTTTCACAATCATAAGTCAATACAAGTGCAAGGTGTTCGAAATGTAATGTGAACAGTGAGTGACATCTTATTTTTCGTTAATAAATAAAACAATTATTTCATTTAGAGTGGAACTTATCCGGTTGTGTTATTTTTGATTTTAGTTGAAATTTGTCAGATGTTTAAAAAACGTTGCAAATGTAATGTGGATTCGTGACTGAATTAATTTGATGAGACTTTCGTATGATGAAATTATACAATTTTGAATGAAATAATTAACTTAAAAAAATTTTATGATATTTCTGCTTCCGTTTATAAATTATTTAAATACAATTTTTCATAAAAATCTGAGCCGATCTACATAACTTCTCTAGGAATTAAAGAGTTCCAAAACAGGTTCTTCGATTATGTAGATCAGTTTCATTTCTGTTTCGGCTCTAATTCAGTTTTTGTTTAGTTCAGTTCTAGTTCAATTTTAGTTCAGTTCAAGTTTAGTTCCAGTATAGTTCTAACTCAGCCATAGTTTTAATTCATGCTCAGTCCTATTTCATTCCAGTTCAGTTCTGATTCACTTCTAGTTTAATTCTAGTTCAGTTCTAGTTCAGTTCTAGTTCAGTTCTAAGTTCAGTTCTAGTTCAGCTCTAGTTCAGTTCTAGTTCAGTTCTAGTCAGTTCTAGTTCAGTTCTAGTTCAGTTCTAGTTCAGTTCTTAGTTCAGTTCTAGTTCAGTTCTAGTTCAGTTCTAGTTCAGTTCTAGTTCAGTTCTAGTTCAGTTCTAGTTCAGTTTAGTTCAGTTCTAGTTCAGTTCTAGTCAGTTCTAGTTCAGTTCTAGTTCAGTTCTAGTTCAGTTCTCAGTTCAGTTCTAGTTAAGTTCTAGTTCAGTTCTAGTTCAGTTCTAGTTCAGTTCTATTTCAGTTCTAGTCAGTTCTATTCGTTCTAGTTCAGTTCTAGTTCAGTTCTAGTCATTCCAGTTCAGTTCTAGTTCAGTTCTAGCTTCAGTTCTAGTTCAGTTCTAGCTCGTTCTAGTTCAGTTCTAGTTCAGTTCTAGTCAGTTCTAGTTCAGTTAAGTTCTAGTTCAGTTCTAGTTCAGTTCTAGTTCAGTTCTAGTTCAGTTCTAGTTCAGTCTAGTTCAGTTCTAGTTCAGTTCTAGTTCAGTTCTAGTTCAGTTTCTAGGTCAGTAGTTTCAGTCTAGTTGCAGTTCGAGTTCAGTTTCCCTAGTTCAGTTCTAGTTCCAGTTCTAGTTTCAGGTTCTAGTTCAGTTGTCTAGTTCAGTTTCTAGTTCAGTTCTAGTCAGTTCTAGTTCAGTTCTAAGTAGTTCAGTCTAGTTCAGTTCTAGTTCAGTTCCGAGTTCAGTTCTAGTTCAGTTCTAGTTCAGTTCTAGTTCAGTTCTAGTTCAGTTCTAGTTCAGTAGTTTCTAGTGTCAGTCAGTCAGTCAGTTCGAGTTCAGTTCTAGTTTCAGTCTAGTTCAGTTCTAGTTCAGTTCTAGTTCAGTTCTAGTTCAGTTCTAGTTCAGTTCTAGATAGTTCAGTTCTAGTTCAGTTCTAGTCAGTTCTAGTTCAGTTCTAGTTCAGTTCTAGTTCAGGTTTAGTTACAGTTCTAGTTCATTTCTAGTTCAGTTTTAGTTCAGTTCTAGTTCAGTTCTAGTTCAGTTCTAGTTCAGTCTAGTTCAGTTCTAGTTCAGTTCTAGTTCAGTTCTAGTTCAGTTTAGTTCAGTTTAGTTCTTAGTCAGTTCTGTCAGTTCTAGTTCAGTTCTAGTTCAATTCTACTTCATTTCTATTTCGGTTCTAGTTCAGTTCTAGTTCAGCTCTAGTTTAGTTTTAGTTTAGTTCTTGTTCAGTATCAATTCTGTTCTAACTAAAATTTTTTAATAAAATTTTTTGAAAATTACAAAAAATTATGCAACTATTTTTTGAAAAGAATTTTGAAATCTGAGTTCAAATAAATATCATTTCTGATACCCCACCATAATCACGTATGGATTGTTTTTATATTTATTATTTAATTGTCTTTATGTGTGAAAAGTTGTTGTGTTGAAATCGTGTTTTTATATTTTCATATCTTTTGAATAGCTTAAGTTCTTTTCAGAAATCTTTTGATTAATCTTAGACAAACACAAATGAAAAGCATTTATTTTTTTATAACAAATAATTTATTTATCATTATTATTATTATTGTTAATTTTTTTTCTATATTAACATTTTATGTATTTTTATTTAAAGTTTTTTATTTCATACATATATAATACAAACAAAAAAATAATACAAAAACAAGATAAAAAAACAAAAAAGTCTTTTCAACATTATTTTTGGGCGGCTTATACTAGAGTAAAAACAAGACAAGATATGACGTCGAAACAATAAGACAATGGATGAGACCAGGTGAGATATATGTACAAATGTGATAATGTGATCTCACTGGCACTTGATTGTCTTTCTTACGCAACGAGTGATCAAAAGATCTAACTGATAGTTGTTAGGCCAGTTAGATATTTAATGATAATAATAAAAATAATACAATTTATAATTAACTTAGTTTTAAATAATACAAATTTTAGCTAAAATTATTGTTAAAAGTAATGAAGTACATGTTAGGAATTGATTAGCATAATTATTTTTTATCCCTGAGTTTGTTTCCAAATCTGATAATCTGGACATGGCATGAATTTGTTCATTGTCCAATGAAGGACGATAGTTCCAATCGATGGTGTGAGTCTTACAGATGTGGGAAAATACTCTGGCTGAGATTTTAGGTGTACGTTTGCGCTGAGGATCTGTAAAGTCTACATGATACAGACCGAATTTTTCTCTGTAAAGGGAAAGATAAAGGTTTTTGAGTTTGATTATAAGGAATTTTTGAAAAATAAATCTGTTATACTAAAAGTTATTTATGTGATTTATATAAAACTTTAAAACGGACATTTTAAAGAAAAATCTGTTAGAAAATTTTCTATAGAAAAGTTTTGCATACAATTCAGATAAATTTTCCATAGGGAAATACTGTTATACTGAATATTTTATTTAAAAGGATTTAGAAAAAAAAAACTGTTATACTGACAACTTTTCAATAAAGAAAACAGTTATACTGTAAGTTTTCTATAAAATAACTGTCATACGGAAGAGATTTTACAGTTAAAATTGATTTACTTAAAATTTTTTTGTAAAAAAAAAACTGTTATACTGAAAATATTTTGATAAAAAAACTGTTATTTTTTATAAAGAAATCTATTAGAAGAGTTTTTACGGTTTTACTGACAATTTTTTACAAACAAAACTGTTATACTGCAAAACTGTTCAACTGCCAAAACTGTTATACTGACATTTTTTATTGAGAAATTGATAAAATGGAAATTGTTTATTGAAAAACTGTTACACTGAAAAATTTTTTATAAAAATATTGTTAATTAAAAAATTTTATAAAGACAAAACTGTTATACTAAAAAATAGCATAAAAAACTGTTATACTGAAAACATTTTTATAAAAAACTGTTATACAGAAACATTTTATAGAAATAACCGTCACGCAAGAGCTTTTACAGAAAAATTATAAAAAAAATTTATATTAACTGTTATACTAAATCTTAATTATTAAAAAAACTGTTATACTGAAAGTTTTCTTTAAAAACTGTCTTAAGAAAAATAATCTGCAAAAAAGAATAGAAGGAAAAATTATTTTAATAAAAAATTTTATTTAAAAAAACTGTTATACGGAAATTTTCTAAGGTAAAAACTGTTATACTGAAGATTTTTCTATGAAAAGATTGTTAAAGCGAAGATTTTAAAAAGACTAAACTTATATACAAAAGAAATCATAAATAGAAAACTGTTATACTGAAAATATTTTCAATTTAAAACTGTTATACTAAAAATTTTTCTAGAAAAATAACGGTTTTATAAAAAATTTTATATAAAAATATTGTTAGTCAAAAATGCGTTTGAAAATCTGTTATACAGACAATTTAGTATCAAACAAAACTGTTATAATGAATATTTTTCAATAGGAAGACCAAAAAATTTCTTTGGAAATCTGTTATATGGCCAATCTTCTGTAAAAGAAAAGATTTTTTTCTCAAGAAAGATTGTTAATGGAATGATTTTGATAAAAATTACAGTTATACTAAAAAATACGAAAAAAAACTGTTATACTGTTTGAAAATTTGAAAATTAATGTTAAAAACAAATTAATTAAAACAAAAACTCAGAATTTTTCATTCTTCAGACATTTGCTTATTTGTATAATTTCACAATACTTACGTAAAACCAGCCTTCCATTCATAACTGTCCATCAAACTCCAAGCAATATAACCTTCAACATTGGCACCATCTTCCATAGCATCTAAGACAGCACTCAAATACATATTGTAGTAATCAACACGAGCATAATCCTCCAAACCTCCCCGATCGCTAACACCATTTTCTGTGACAATCACATTGGGGTTGTTGTACTCACGTTTAATCCACATCAATAAATTATACATTCCCTTGGGCACAACCTGTAATAACAAAACAAAATAGAAAAAATAAAAATACACATATTCTACAACAAAAATCTCCCAATTATTTAATCTAGATTTCTAACGACCTTCCCCGGGTACGAAAATAACAAGTTGGTTGGTTAAACGGAAATGAAACTAACAAATTATTTAACACTATGTAAAGGTAAAAACTTGTCTCCCCCAAACAAAAGAAACAACTTTTTATTATTTTTTTTCGAGCCAGTGACTGAGCAATAACTACAATAAAAACATTAAATATTTAAAAGAATTTCATTTCAGCCAAATCATTTATAACACTCTCCCTCCATACAAAAGTTCATTAATTATATAATTTCAAGTACTTTAAGGTGTAAAAGTACTTGTAATTTGAACAAAAGTTAATGAAATAAATTAACAGACCTGTTGCTATTCTATTTTATTTATCTAACTGGCACCCACACAAATTCCATCATCATCTGGTTCTTACAAACAAATGGTCAGATAAAATGCCAACCACTTTCAATCACAAATATTCATAAGTTTATTTAATATTAATTTTACTCGCCTTTAATATTTTAATTTAGTATTTATTTCTATTTTTTACTATAAATTATGTCTTAAATATTAATAACTTAAGGAGGTTTTGTTTTCGTTTCAATAAAATTGCATAAAAAATTAAAAATATTGAAAAAAAAAGAAAACAGGTGCCAGTGGCTATATATTTGCGAATAATAATAATAATAATAAACAAAAAACATTTACATTTGCATTCATTATCACATACTTATGCAAATAATAATAAATAATTATATTGTTTATTTATTCAAATTTGTTTTATTAAACCAGCCTTTATATTTGTTTACGGTTTTTTTTTTCTGTTACAGTTTTGAAAACTGGATTTTGAAACAAGGATTTTTTTGAGTAGATTTTATTGAATATATTGCATTGTACGGGTAACAACTGATTTAAATAAGTGCAATTGAAATATATTTTTTAATAGGTCAACATTTGTTTGATTTAGGAATTCAATGAAAATTTAGAATTGAATAAATGAAATAGTTAAATCAACTAATTTGTCATTATTTGAAATTTACATACAATTTCCGAAACAATTTTCACTTTTAATATGATTTTGATATACAGTATTGCTCAAAACATAATTTACTTTTCCATTTTACAACACAATGATCGCTGTACAATACACATCTACATCTACATCTATCTATCTATCTATCTATCTATCTATCTATCTATCTATCTATCTATCTATCTATCTATCTATCTATCTATCTATCTATCTATCTATCTATCTATCTATCTATCTATCTATCTATCTATCTATCTATCAATATATCTATCTATCTATCTATCTATCTATCTATCTATCTATCTATCTATCTATCTATCTATCTATCTATCTATCTATCTATCTATCTATCTATCTATCTATCTATCTATCTATCTATCTATCTATCTATCTATCTATCTATCTATCTATCTATCTATCTATCTATCTATCTATCTATCTATCTATCTATCTATCTACCCATCTACCTACCTATCTATCTATCTATCTATCTATCTATCTATCTATCTATCTATCTATCTATCTATATATCTATCTATCTATCTATCTATCTATCTATCTATCTATCTATCTATCTATCTATCTATCTATCTATCTATCTATCTATCTATCTATCTATCTATCTATCTATCTATCTATCTATCTATCTATCTATCTATCTATCTATCTATCTATCTATCTATCTATCTATCTATCTATCTATCTATCTATCTATCTATCTATCTATCTATCTATCTATCTATCTATCTATCTATCTATCTATCTATCTATCTATCTATCTATCTATCTATCTATCTATCTATCTATCTATCTATCTATCTGTCTATCTATCTATCTATCTATCTATCTATCTATCTATCTATCTATCTAAAATCCCAGAATCCAAAGTTCGGTCCCGGATCTTAGTTTTTCAACAAATTCGAAAGATCTAAGGAAATTCATAAGTTACCGCTCAACTATCGATCATCAAACAAATATTGGTACAATATCGAATTGTTTTTACTAATCATATTTAGCTTACCTTAAGCCACACTGATCCCGACCCCGTCCAGTTGGGGTCTTGCGTTTCCACCACACCCATATCGTGATTGAAAGAAGGTACTGGAAATCCGGCTGAATTATTATGATCATTTTTGGTTACTAAATTTGTCGTATAAGTATTAATGCCAAAGAAATCGGAAGTGCCTCTAATGCGTTGTATCTCTTCTTTGGTAAATTCGGGCAAACGAGTTTGTGTAAAACCCTGCTCCTTACTAAGATTGTGGATACGATCAATCATTACTGAGGGATAATTACCATGACGGGAGAATATAGGATGAGCAAACCAACCCACCTAAATTATAATAAAAATATTAAGTTCAATGAATGGAACTTTAAATATAATAAGGGTTAAAAACTTACATAAAATTGCATAGCCCTCTCGGAAGCCTCACGATCCTCACTTGAATCTGTTTTAGGTTCAGGCCAAGAAACATCCACTGTAATGCCCATACGACCCTTTTGAGATTTCTTATACTCATCACGATACATATGCACTACTTCGGCATGGGCCTTAAGTAAATTATGACCACACAAATAAGCAGGTATACCAGGATAATTATAAGCAGGAGCCATGTAATCCACACCATAACCATGTTCACACACATGCCAGGGTTCATTAATGGTAGTCCAAATTTTTACACGATCTCCAAACATTTCCAACAATAAACGAGCATAGTCTTTGAAAAGAGGTATAATTTCAGCATTGGTCCAACCGCCCAATTCTTGTAAACGCTGCGGCAGCTCCCAATGATACATTGTCACCATGGGTGTAATATTATAGTGTAAAAGTTCATCCAACAAATTACTATAGTACTTAATGCCAGCAGTACTAACATGATTCATATGACCAGTGGGCAAAATACGGGGCCATGATATCGAGAAACGATAAACTTTAACATTTAACTCGCGCAACATTTGAACATCTCGGCGCCACTGTAATTGATAGAAAGAAATCTGATTATAGAAGCGGTACAGATGTTTAAAAAAATTATGCATAAACAAAATGACAAGCGGCTGCTAACAGTAGCACTATTATTACAATTTGCAATTATTACGGACACACCTCCCAGAATTATTAAATTGGAACTACTTAGCAACACAAGAACGAAAGCTAATAACTTAACTATAGTGTAACTAACTAAATAAATACTAGATTTTAAATATGTCTTAAGTTGATTTAGAATTTTTCACTAAAATTTATTTAAAATTTACATGCTCACATTATGTTCGACATGCTTTATGAAGTTTTTTTTTTTCTAAAATTATATATAAATAGTTATTTGAAATATGTGAACTTGTTAATTGAGGTCATTATTATTACATTATTATTTAAATATTTTAAATCTTTGTTAAATATATGCAAATAGAAAATTGTTCCTCTTAAGATCAAGTAGTTGTTTTGTTTTTATGAAAAATATTACAAGTAATATTAAAATTATTAACATTCTATATAAAATATTGAATTATACCTATAACTTGATAGTAAACGCCATAGACAAAGTTACAATAACAACTGTCAACAGTATTGAATTGAACACTCACTAAGCTTTTAATAGAATTCGTTTACGTCAACAATAGTCATGTACGATTAACAAAATGTCAACGTCGAAAAATGAAAATAAACATTATTAGAAATTGTATTGAAACTAGAAAACCCAGTTGAAAATTTCACCTTGATAGATTAGATAGATAGATAGATAGATAGATAGATAGATAGATAGATAGATAGATAGATAGATAGATAGATAGATAGATAGATAGATAGATAGATAGATAGATAGATAGATAGATAGATAGATAGATAGATAGATAGATAGATAGATAGATAGATAGATAGATAGATAGATAGAGAGAGAGATAGATAGATAGATAGATAGATAGATAGATAGATAGATAGATAGATAGATAGATAGATAGATAGATATAGATAGATAGATAGATAGATAGATAGATAGATAGATAGATAGATAGATAGATAGATAGATAGATAGATAGATAGATAGATAGATAGATATTAGATAGATAGATAGATAGATAGATAGATAGATAGATAGATAGATAGATAGATAGATAGATAGATAGATAGATAGATAGATAGATAGATAGATAGATAGATAGATAGATAGATAGATAGATAGATAGATAGATAGATAGATAGATAGATAGATAGATAGATAGATAGATAGATAGATAGATAGATAGATAGATAGATAGATAGATATAGATAGATAGATAGATAGATAGATAGATAGATAGATAGATAGATAGATAGATAGATAGATAGATAGATAGATAGATAGATAGATAGATAGATAGATAGATCGCTCGCTCGCTCCGCTCTCGCTCGCTCGCTCGCTCTCTCGCTCGCTCGCTCGCTCGCTCGCTCGCTCGCTCGCTCGCTCGCTCGCTCGCTCGCTCGCTCGCTCGCTCGCTCGCTCGCTCGCTCGCTCGCTCGCTCGCTCTCTCGCTCGCTCGCTCTCGCTCGCTCGCTCGCTCGCTCGCTCTCGCTCGCTCGCTCGCTCGCTCGCTCTCTCGCTCGCTTCGCTCGCTCGCTCGCTCGCTCGCTCGCTCGCTCGCTCGCTCGCTCGCTCGCTCGCTCTCGCTCGCTCGCTCGCTCGCTGATCGCTGCTCGCTCGCTTCCTCGCTCCCTCGCTCGCTCCCTTGCTCGCCTCGCTAGCTCGCTCGCTCGCTCGCTCGCTCGCTCGCTCGCTCGCTTAGTCGCTCGCTCGCTCGCTCGCTGCTCGCTCTCTCGCTCGCTCGCTCGATAGATCGATAGCTTAGATCGCTAGATAGATGCTAGCTACGGCTTGACTCAATTTTAAGTGTCTTAAGAACATCCACCTGACTTTTCCACACCAGTGTAATCAAATGTAAGAAAAACAATATTGCTAGTAATGACAACTTCTTCGTAAATGTAGAAAGTGTTACTGCACTATTTCCTATATTGTCCTCTTAAAAATGTGTGTCAAAAAGTGGTACACCAGTTCTATGAAATTATTGAAAATTCCAACTGGGATTGGATTTTGTGATTGATTATTTTTTCAATAAATTCAAACAGACAAGTATAAAGAGATTTAAGTTTTAGGTCGTTAATTATACCTGCTAAATCTAAACGAAAAATAAATTTAAACAATTTGTAAACTTCTCACTCCTCGTAGACTAACTACCATGCAGCAACACATGTAGTAATTAAATAAATTGTATAAAAATTAATATTGACTATTAAATCATATATAATATGAGTAATTAATCCAAAAAGAAGTTAATTTTGCTAAATTGTTAAAAAATTTACAATATTTTATACGCTTTAATAATTTTGTTAACATTATAATTTACAGTATTTCAAAAAGATATAGACTAGTTTTAACATTTTTCTTACAATTCAATTTAATGACATTAACATTTGAATATTAAAAACAATCCTTTCCTGTTTAAGTAAGGGGTGTAATTTATAATTACAATAATTATAGCAAGTTGTTTTAAGTTTTTTTTTGTAAATAACAGGTGTTACTGATTTTTTCCATTTTTTTAAATCCGTATTACTCTAACATTTAAATACAAAATCTATAAAAATTGTCATAATAAAATAATAAATCGGTATCATTAAATTTGCAAATTAAATATTGTTACTCACCTTTAGTTTACTTTAATTTACTATAAAACTATTAATTCCATTAATTTTACAATTAACAACAAAGTTAACTACAACAGCCGCTCAAAAACTTATTTCAAGTATTTCAGTTATGACATGTGTATGTATAATTTGTTTGTAATTTAACTTTTTTGTTGAACTCACCTGATGATAGCTATCAGATGTTACATCACCATTTGATTGATCGGCAATCTTTTCTGGATGATTATGTGTCATAAAATCCCATATAGATTCTCCTTTATCATCGACATTCCAACCTCCTTCTATTTGATAGGATGATGAACCCACGCCCCATATAAAATCTTTGGGAAAACGTCGTATAAATTTTTCGGTTGATCTGAAAATAAAGAGACAAATATTATTCACATGACTTTTTTTTAATATTCCGAGTCCAACGGAATTTAGATGATCGAATGGATTTGTTAAAAAGAGCTGTATAATGAATAGAATACAACTTTTTAAAATTGAAGAATTTATTCCTTGCTTTGTAATCCGATTTTAGCGAAAAAACGCTAACGAAATGTCGAACTTTTCGTAACAAAGCGATTTCTTTATTTAAATAGAATTTAAAAAGAAAATGAAGGACTGTTAGAAAATGTTATTTAGGCTTCGAACTATACTGTATATACGGTTTTGTAGGCCTATGGAGGCTTAGAGCGGGATTCTTACTACTTAGTTAAACGTTGATAAAATTTGCTGTTAAATTAAACACAAGTTTAATTAGAAAGAGCTTGTGTTTTTTTGACAATTGCATTAGTATTGCCATGTTTATGTTTCAATCAAAAACATAAACACTAAACAGCTGTTTTTGTTGATATCAGTTTGGCAAAATAAAAAATGTATTTTTTTTCTAATAAAAATTATTCAAACATCTTCATTTTAATTAAAAGGAAATTTAAAACAAATATTATTGATTTTTTTTAATAGATACTGTCACTTAAATTGTAACGATGACATTTTGAGTTTCACTTCTAAATTTCACTTGGTAACGAATGAAACTTTATAACGTTAACATGCAAAAAAGATTAATTAGAAATTTTTGCCTTTTCATTTATTAATGTAAATGAGGTTTTTACATTAACAGTTTCTGCATCAGGTCCAAGATATAAAAACAAAAAACCAAAGTGGTTTTGCCACACTTTCATTAATTTTAAATGCATTTCAAAACCATTTTGTTATTGACGTATTCAGAAGTAAGCTGCGTCAAGCGACGAAACTGTTTGCAGCCGGAAAGTACCATAATCTTAAACAGGAATAATTTAATTAAATAATACAGTTAAAAAATACGTTAATAATTATTACCCAGAACTAAATAAATGATATTACACATTAATGTTGTATTTATAACAAGTTGTCATTTATTTTTATAAATAAAAAAATAAAGAAGACCTGTTTAAACGGTTTTTTTTTATAAAATATATCTGTGTAACAATTTTAATACATTTTTAATAGTATTTTGAAAGTATGTAGTCTTTTTGTATGAATCATATGTTTTAAGCCCTTGAATCTAAAATGTCTGGAAATAACGTAAACCAAAAAAAAAAAAAATATGGGGAATTTCTTAATTTGTGTTAAAAACACTCTTAAAATAATTTGTTTAGAAAAACAAAATTAATTTGAGATCAGAAAATAAATGATAATTTATAAATCTCACTTTATTTGCAGGTACTATTATTTTGTCAATTATAATTTATGTAAGTAATAATTAAAACATTCTATTTTTAAAGTTCACTTGAATAAGTACCTATAAAATTTTATTACATTTATTAAATAATTAAGAAATGTAGAATTTACCCAGCAGGCAAGGAGGTTTGACTTTGAATAAATTTTTTAAATGTCAAGATATCTGTCATTACCCTGTAGGAAATGTCAATATTAAAAATGTGCTTAATCGCTATTGACTTTGTCAGTAGTACTAGTGTCGAATTATACCCTATACAAGGCTTAGTGCTATTGACATTTAACATGTGCGTGTCATTGAAAATCCTCTAGTAACATTATGACTATTGACTCGGTATTGACTAGGTACTTCTCATGGATCCATATGGTGACATTAGAACCAGGAATTTACTAGTACATTTCTATATCGCGAGTCCATTCAGTTTTAATACAGACATTTTCTTAAGGAATATTGACATGTTTGCTGACAATGCCACTAGATATACACCACATCTTTGGTCTCTGTATTTTTTATATTGACACAGAAATGAAAGATTGGAGACATTTGAACTAGTACTGTTGACAAAAAGATATATGGACCCAGTCTGACTGCAGGGTATGTACAGATATACATTTATGGATTTTAAACTCAATTGAAATGTTAAACTTTATGTTTGTTGGGTATTTAGTATTCCTAAACATCGAATGTCTTATAGAAATTATAGGTTTATATGCGAAAATAATATGAATTAAAAAATATTTATTTTATAATGTTTGCTTAACACAAATAAAGTGCAGCTGGTAATTTCATTGTTAATTTCGATTCCCCTCTAGTTCCTTATGAAATGTTTGACATCAATTTCAACAAATTTTAGAATTTAAATCGAATCGTTTCTGAAGTATAGAAATGTTTGTAGCGTACTACATAGGGACAAATATTGAAATTTGTAAATTTAAAATTTTGCCATTGCTAATCTTTGGAGCATCAACAGATTTAACATTATATAACATTATATTAACTTATCCATTCCTGCTGCCACAATATATGCTTACATTTACATAAATAAATTACAAAATTATTAGTTTTACATAAACACTAATTGATGTTTGCTTTTAAATATTAATAAATTAACTAAAAACTTGAAACATTTATTTAATAAATTTTTAAAATAAAATGATAATTACCATATATAATCATCAACGTAATTAAAACATATAATTTCTATTTATGAAAACGAAGAAGACTTATTAGTACAAAACTTGTAATTATTTACGTCTGAAGGTATAAATAAATTAAAAAATACACTTTAGAATAATAACTTTTCCCCCTTTTTTAGATAATTACCTTAAATTCAGTAAATGAACCTGAAATATTTTCACAGTTTTTAATATAAATTTGAATTCTTATGCATTTACTATAACTACATATAAAATTTTAAGATAAATTGAAGTTATAAAAAAATTTTTGAAATCAATAAACTGCTACATGACAGACTTTATGTCTACACGTGCCATAACATTGTCTTGTGAAGTGTGGAGCACGACTAATTCATAACGTTTGTTTTATGTGTCACAGCCATACAATCAGTCAGTGCAATAATTGACTTTAAAATTAAACGATTAAACGATTTTAACAATGCAATTATAATATTAGTTTTGCTAATCAAGTCCCCGTTGGAAATTTTTACGAGAACATTTTTTCATTAACAAATGACAAACTGTTGAAGTGATTTCAACTTATATGAATTCGTCTTGAGATTGAAGTTGTCACATTATCGCAATTAAACCGAACAGGCGAATCTGTTCCAGATGGAACCACTGACGAATTCAGAATCTATCTATCTATCTATCTATCTATCTATCTATCTATCTATCTATCTATCTATCTATCTATCTATCTATCTATCTATCTATCTATCTATCTATCTATCTATCTATCTATCTATCTATCTATCTATCTATCTATCTATCTATCTATCTATCTATCTATCTATCTATCTATCTATCTATCTATCTATCTATCTATCTATCTATCTATCTATCTATCTATCTATCTATCTATCTATCTATCCGTCTATATATCTATCTATCTATCTATCTATCTATCTATCTATCTATCTATCTATCTATCTATCTATCTATCTATCTATCTATCTATCTATCTATCTATCTATCTATCTATCTATCTATCTATCTATCTATCTATCTATCTACCTATCTATCTATCATCTATCTATCTTTCTATAATCTATCTATCTTTCTATCATCTATCATCTTTCTATCATTTATCTATCCTTCCTTCTATCTTACATAACCTACATGAACTGTTAAATTGCAACTCTGCTGCGACTATGTAAATATTTATATCAAACTGATTAATCAAAATACATGTGCTTGTTTCTAAAAAACTAGTCAACTGGGGATCCCAAAGAATTATTATTGGTTTATGACATTGTGCTGTTATATCATTATTACTATTATTGAAAATTGTATTTATATTAGTTCTTTTGAAAACTATGAATGTACACAATCTGTCCATCTACATATCGGTTCGGTGATTGTGTATGTGTATTTTTACTGAATTGAATGATTTTGTTTATAAATATGTAAAACACCTTGATTTAGTTGTAGAATTTTTGTTGTTACCAATAATTTGTCTATGGTAGTAAAATTTTGTATTTGAGTTGTATGTGAGTAACAAAAAAGAATATATAACTTTGACACTTGTTTGGCACTTGTTGTCTTGTCTTGAAATAAAAAGTTTAAAATTCGTATATGGTTTTTTCATTTTTCATCGATATCGTTCTTGTCTCTTTGTTTTTTTTTTTTTCTGTTTTCATGTCTATTGTCATTGATAGTGTGTTATGGCAAATTGGACTTTTATGTATAAAAATTGCAAGTACAATGATTTTGTTACATTGATATTAGTTGGAGGTTTTTTGATTTTTTTCTGTGTGTATCTTAATTGTTTTTTTGTTTTACCAACAAGTACAATATCATGGAAACATTTACAAGTTGTTTACATAGTAAGTATTGAAATATTTTAAATAGTATTCGAATTACTTTAAACGCCAAATTAATTAATTTATACCAAAAACATGCAACTATTTGTAAAATATTTTCATTGAAAAACTCTCGAGTTAGAACTTAAAATTTGAAAAGATTTATTTGAAGGCAATGTCAAATGTGTGGTCCACTAGAATTTAAATAAAATTTTGGTTAACAAATAAATGCATTTCAAATACGTATTTAGAAAACTTATAAGGCGTAGAAAAGTATTTTATGGAGATTTTTTTAATTTAATATAATTGATGTCAATATAAAAATACAAATCTAAATCTCTATCTTAACATAGAGTTTGTTATCACTCTTTTATTGAAGTTCAAGGCTATTAAGTAATATTTTAAAGAAAATTTGTTTATGTTTAAAAAATAAATATGAAATTCACAAATATTTTCGTTTTGTCAGTTAATTTGTAACACTGCACAATTATACGAAATACTAATATTTTCATCAGCATTAAAGCTTGATTGACATCACTGCACTTTATGGTAAACAAAACAGTAGTGATGCCAGGCTTTCTAATTAAGGATTATTTTGCTTTGTTGTGTTTCTTTAAAGCGAATTCTGGCAAAGTCGAAGGTATATATTTTATTTTATATCAAGGCGTATTCATGCACAGTGAAGACACTGGCGATTTCCGAAATGTCGGGTAAATTAGTTATTACATTGAATTACAACATCGGTTGTAAGTTTGTCTTATGAATACATGTGAATACATTATTTTCGTTCCCAGTTTATAACTGTAGAGTAAAAAGTTTGCCATTATATCTAATTTAACATTTCTTTTTTATTTGCTAATTAAATATTAAAAATGTCTCTTTATCTTTATGAGGCAAATTATAAATTTAAAATTTAATCTTAAATAAACGATATATAAATCCTAACTATATAAATATGTTATTTTACAACTTCGCTCAAAGAAAGTATTAAAGATAAATAAATATTCTAACTTACCAACCTAGAGGGCATTGAACCTAATGGTTCTATAGCAAGACAAAGAGAAATAATACACACTTGACACAGTGAATTTATGAACTAACATTTGCAAATAGAAAATTTAATCTGACACAAAGTTTCCAAGATAAATCCCCACCATATATAATATTTACAAGTTTGTTTGAAAAGAAAAGACAAAGAAGTATCATAAACTAATAAATAACATGGGGCTGTAGAGGAAAAGATCCATAAGCTCTATTAAAACAATCTAATATCTACCATGCCCACACCTGTTATAATATTATCATTTCTCTGATCAGACATAATACCAAAAACTATAAAAGATTTTAGGAAATTACACAACAATATGCGTTTATGCTGAAGTTTGTAACACCCAAAAATTTTGGCTCAGAACACTTTCTGAAACGATTTGGCTGACCGTCTTTGTGCGCACACCACAGGTCGCAATTTTCAAGATCATTTTATGAAAATTGGCACAAGCTCTTCCAAGGTCGAATCCTATTAAAAATGGTTAAAATCGGTCCTTTATTTCACCTAGCCCCCATACAACCGAACCCTCCTTTTGAGCTCATAATTATGCTAAATGTTCTTGTATCTCTACAAAAATCGGAAGAACTAATTTCATCTACCACAATTTACACAGCATAATTTTTGAAAGAGTTTTGTTTTATATTGACATTGACAGTTGGATAAAAAAACAATCAGCTGATGAAAAGACTTCTACAAAGCCAATCGATTATAAGGTAAAATCAACAGCTGTTCGCTTTTTTGGTCATCAAAATTTATCCTAAATACGTAATTGACTTATAATATGTAAACCGAATTGATTCTAGATGAGCCAGGGCGTAAGGTAAAGTCTCTGCAGAATTCCGAAAACTGAGGCAAATTTGTTATATTTTTCATTTATGGAGTTTTTTATGGAAATTGACAACTTTGAAATAAAATTTCAATAACAAATAACTCCATATTTAAAAATATAGCGAATTCACCCAACTTTTCTGAATTACCTTACAATTATATCCTTCCAAAAAACATTAAAAAAAAAATTATACAAAAGTTCAAATATTTAATAGCAACCGTTTAAAGATATTTCTCCAGGTTTTTGTTTCGATCTCATTTTCATTATTATATCGATATTTTGAAAACGATTGTAAAAATCTAATCCTTTGGATTTGTTATATATTCTCACGAATATTCAAATTTCGAAATTTTCATAATAATTTTTAGAATAATAAATAACATGTGATGTGAATGAAGAATAATTTGACAAAGTTATTATTATGCACATAGTTATTGTTTAAAAACTATAGAAATAAATAAAAAAAAATCACACATTTTGCAGCTGATTTTTTTATATTCATTCATTATACACATGTTTCATTATTATGTTTAATTTTTAAATACACAAAATTAATTTTTAAATATTTTATTTCTTTTGTATTAGGTATTATTAAGCATTATTAATTTATTTTTTTATATTTTTAACAAAAGTTTGAAATTTATGTTTTTTTTTAACAAAAACATAGCTACTTTATTTTTAAGTTGTTCTTATTCATATCTTTCTCTTTTTTAAATGCACTTACATCACTGAAGAAATTTGTAAAATTTGTATTAATATTGCTAATTTTATTATATTCAACATTTTCTTATTATTTGATCCTTTTTCTTTTTCAACACGCCAACTTTTTTATTTTTTCTTGTAAACCCCGCAATAATTTAAAAAAGCTTTGCGTATTAACAGTAAGTTACAAATATAAACGATCGTTTTTTTTTTTCAAATACCCGCTTCAACTCAACCGTTTTGTGTTGAATTTCACTCTAGAACGAAGTGTTTGTGAATACTTAAGAATGCTTTTATATCCTCGGCTATAAATGACGGCTAAAAATCAACCAAAAACAAGTTAATACAGAAACCCAATGTTGGCAGCAGCAACAAAAGTAAGCATCATTCTAACTTACACACTCATTCACACATACACTCTCTATACTAGACACCTAGAACCTGCTGTTAGTATTTGTTGTAAAACAAATCAATATAGCAAAACAAAATAAAAATAATAATTTTAATAATTTTTACACGAATTGTTATCAAAACAACAAACAAAAACAAGAGAGTGAAAAAAAGTAATATGCAAATGCAACTAAACTCTCTGATCTTGATTTTCATGTGTCAGTACGTTTGTTTATTTACTTATAAATACTCGTCATAAACATTGTTGCTGTTTTAAATAAGAAGCACAAGTGACAGTTGTACAAAGAAGTGTAAATAAAAACCTGTCCATCTGTGTTACACATGCGTATTGTCTGTCCATCTTTATAAAACCATCATTATACCCTACACCACTATAGTGGGTAGAGTATTAGGCGTTTGTGCTGATGTTTGTATCATCCAAATAGCAATCGGCTTAGAATTACTTTCTGAGTTGATTAAGCGATGTATGTCCTCCTGTTTGTCCATGTAAACCTTGTGTATACACTTTGATGAAATTTTGCACATACAAGGTCGAATTGTTTAAAATCGGCCCATTATTTTACCTAGTCGCCATACAAACGTACTCCTCGAATAGGTCTCTTGAGCTTATAATTATATTAAATGTTCTAGTAACTCGACAATAATCGACAAAAAAATTTTACCCATCAGAAAATGACTTGAAATTCTGCATAAATAACTTTAATGTAAACGAAAATACCTCTATTAACATTTAAAGGATTGGCCCATATTACACCTTTTTCAGAAAATCACTTTTTTTGTCAACAAATTGTTAAAAAATTGCGGAATTAAGGCTAAAAAACAACTTAAATGCTTCATTATTAAAAGTAATCAACATTTTTAACATATGTACTACTCATTGGTGTAGGGTATCATAGTCGACCATGTCCGACTACACATACTTACTTGTTTTGTCAGTCCGTTTGTATCATATCCAAATATGACCAATATTAGCCCCCACACAAAGTATAGATTAATAAAAAATAGAGGGAAATTATTCTGTAAATTATAAATGGTCAGTCCGTTTTAAGTGAAATGTCACAGGCGTAAAAACATATTTTTTAGAATACTATATCTTCGTTAAAAGGGGCAATTTAAAAAAATAATATACATATATGAAATTTGCTCGTCGAGTACTACTAAAAACCTTTAATTTATCTCTTATAGCTAGGAGATATTCGCATTCCGTTTTTCTAACCCTATAAAGTGTATACATATATTTTGAATCCTTATAGATAGCGGAGTCGTTTTAGCCATTTCCGTACGTATATTGAAATCAGTTATCTTCAGATCCCAAATATCATCGGGATCCAAACCTTAAAAGGTTATCAGCAATATCGCTCCATATATAACGGAGGTATGAGCAAAATCCCAAAATAACCCATGAAAATATTACGCTTTTTTCTTCTCATTCCTATTTGCTCTTATAAGCAGTTTGGCAACTTCGGGATTAAATTTGATGACCAAAAAAAAAAAAAACTATCATATGAAGCGCCTTCACCTTATAATCAATACGTCTTGGTGGGTGTATAAAATTCGGTATATGATTAACGTACTAATAAATTTAATTTGTTACATTTAACTTCTCTTCTATAACTTTTCTGTTTAGAAGAAAACTACTCATATAAAAATGTCAAATAAAAGATTAGTGTTTTTTTTTTTTTTTTTGTTATATTCTATGATACATTTTAACAATTTTATATTTACTACAATATTTTTGAGCGTAATTGATTTGTTATATCGGACAACCACAAAGTAAGAAAGTGCGGAAAGAGGGTTAATAACTTAAATAATAAAGTGTTAGCAAAGCAACTAACAAATTAGATGCTTACTAATAAAGTTGTAAGCATCATCTAGATTATGAATTAATTATTTTTAAATATATATTACAATTGAATTGTTATATTACATTTATTCTTGAAATTTTACTATTAAATCATTTCTAAGGGAAATTCCTTATTGATATCTAACATATTTAGTATTTTTCTTTATAAAAGCCGTTTGTTTAATTACGCGGAAAGGGGAATTTTTTAAATTGTTTATTATTATTATTAATAATATTTGTTTTGTTGTAATAATTTAGGTTTGCTAATGATTTATTTATAACGCAGCGGATATTAAAGCGAATTATATTGTTTGTTATATATTTTAATTTTAATCGTTTAATTGAATATAAAAAATATTATTGTTTTTTTCCATAAATTAGAAGAAATATTTGTGTTATATATTTAAATTTTTTTTTTAATATTATTTAAAATTATTAAACAATTGTTTTAATAACTGGTTAAAAGTGAAATATTTTATAACAATAGTAAGATGAAAAAATACTTGAACCTCTTAAGGAGATTTCTGCATGAAAACGAATATTTATACAAGGTTTCAGTCAAAAATGTATCTACATTACAGGCTGTAAATTCAGCACAACCGACGCCGTCAAGCTGCACATAAAACTAGTTAGAGTGCTATTGTAGGTGGACCTTATCTATTACCAATTATGAGCCCAACCGGGAAAATGGCTTGTTTATGTGTAAAACATATTCTAGTCGAATTTTATATGGTAGGTATGAATACAAATACTTTCGTGTTAAATTTTATCCCGAAATAACAATTGTTAATGAATTGTATTCGTTTAATTGATTTTCGAATATGGGACCAACGGCCAATTATGGACCAATCCAGGCTTTAGTAATAAACGCTTTCTAATGATATTATATTTACATTCATTTTGCAAAGGGTACCCGCCCTGAACTAAATTGTTTTTAAAAACATTTCTTATTATAACGCCTAGCTACACACAGCATTGCCATTTAATTAATAAAACATTTCACACAGTTGTATTTGCTACTGTTTTAACAATACTAATTTAAGCAACTGTTCGTGTTTTTTACAATTTTTCTGTTTTTGTTTTGATATTTTAATTCTTCATTTATTTTTTTTTTTCAAATATTTTCTACACGTGCTACTTGCAACAGATTTATTTTAGTTTATTAGTTTTAAAATGGAACTATTTACAGTAAATCGGTAATTATAAATTAATAATTATTGTTAATATTATTAAATACACATAATTGTTACCTTTTAGCTATGTGGAACAGGACTTGCAGGGAAAGCCAACAAATGAAGATGAAATTTTACAAAATCTTTTAAAGAAAGTGGAAAAACGTAAACGCAAACAAATAAAAACTAAGGAACAAAGTGATGAAGTGGAAAAAGAAGCGGTAAAGGCCAAACAATCGAAACAGGAAGAAAGTATAAAAACGTTAGAAGCAGAAGATGAAATAGATCCGATTAATGAAGGTATTGAGCTGGCAAACGAAAATGCTGAGGAGGAGGAAACAAGTGGTTTTGTGGTGTTGGGTGATGAGAATGATGCACGTAAACGTCAAAGTGTGGAGGTGGTGTTGCCTGCATGGTTAGCTCATCCCACTATAGTATCCACCAGCATTGCCAAAACTAGCGATGAGGATGAAAGCAATATCTCGCAAATGTCTTATTTGGCTCCTCACATACGTGGTGCTCTTAAGGAAATGAATATTAGCAGACTTTTTCCTGTACAATTGGCGGTAGTGCCATATATTTTGGAGGCACACTCTAAACCAACTCCTTTCCGACCCAGGGATATTTGTGTCTCTGCTCCTACCGGTAGTGGCAAAACTTTAGCTTTTGCTATACCCGTAGTGCAGTTGCTGTCGCAACGTGTGGAACGTAAAATCCGTGCTTTGGTTATATTGCCCGTGGCGGAATTGGCGCATCAAGTATTTCGTGTATTTAAGAAACTTTGTGACAAAACTGATTTATCAGTTTGTTTACTCTCCACCCAAGTGCCCTTCCACGTAGAACAGGAAAAATTAGTAGAGGAATATAAGGGACAATACTATTCAAAAGTAGATATTATAGTAACAACACCTGGTCGACTGGTCGATCATTTGCATGCCACTAAAGGTTTCTGTCTTAAGGAATTGAAATTTCTGGTTATTGATGAAGCTGATCGTATCATGGATGCCGTATTCCAAAACTGGCTTTATCATTTAGATGCTCATGTACGCACCACTTCGGATCAGTTGTTGTCGGGAAGAGCTGCTCCCTTGTGTTACAACGAATTGGAAATATCGAGTGGTTGTCAACCCCACAAGCTGCTATTTTCGGCTACTCTATCACAAGATCCCGAAAAATTACAAAGTTTGCGCTTGTTTCAACCAAAACTTTTCACTTCTGTTTTAGACAGTCTGCAAGAGTTGCGCCAGAAATATGCCGATGCCCATGCTGAAAGTGAGGTGGCACGAGGAGAGTTTATAGGCAAATATACCACACCAGCGGAATTAACCGAGAAATTCTGCATAACAGAGGGACGTTTGAAACCTTTGACATTGTTCTCTCTAATCAAGCAATATCAATGGACAAAATTCTTATGTTTCACCAACAGTGTAGAGTCTTCTGGAAGGTGAGTGGTATTTTAAACAATTATTGGACAAGAAAACTTTAACAGTGTTTTCTTTTTAGATTGGCTTTTGTGTTAAAACAACTTTTTAAAAAAGATTTAGTTATAGAGGAGCTATCTGCCTCTATTAATGTCAAGGAAAGATCTAATATATTAAGTTCTTTCGCAAGAGGAAGAATTAATGGGTAGGTGTTGAAAAATTTTTTTATTTCAAGATTTATCTATAATTTTAATTTTTTTCCGAAAAAGTGTAATTTGTTCTGATGCTTTGGCTCGTGGTATTGATATACCTGATGTGGATATAGTGGTTTCCTATGATCCACCGCGACACATTAAGACCTATATACATCGTATAGGTCGTACAGCTCGTGCTGGGCGTCCCGGCACAGCCATTACTTTGTTAACACAAAAGGAACAAACGGAATTTGATGTAAGTAACAATTTGATATTTTCTTTCAAACACTTTTACTAAAGAAATCTACATTTTCAGAAAACATTGGCTGAAGTGGGCAAAGTAATAACCGCCGAATTGACCGCTTCCACTTCAACGGAAGAAACATACGCCAAAGAATATTCCTCGGCTTTGAATGCCTTACGTGAAAAGGTTACTCAGGATAAACGTCTTAAATTGTTGAAAAAGGAACGTGCCAAGGAGAAGGCCTTGCTACACAAGGACACTTCTAAGATGTCGTTGATGGAAAAACTCCAGATACAGGCCAGCACACAAGTTCACGAAAAAACTGAAGAGCAGCCCATTTTAAGTAGTAAGAAGAATCCCAGTAAAAAGTTTAAACCTAAAAAAGAGAAGAAACAGAAACAAAAATAAAAAGTGTATTATGTTAACTTATGAAAAAAAGGCCATGGAAATTTATTTATCATTAGAGTTAAGAGTGGAAGTTATATAAAACATAAAGCAGGATTGATTTTGGAAGAAGTGAACTAGTCTACAGACCAGACTTGACTATTGGCTAGACTATGGACTAATTTATAGACTAGACTATAAACTAAACTATAGACTAGACTATAGACTAGATTATAGACTAGACTATAGACTAAACTATGGACTAGACTATAGACTAAATTATAGACTAGACTATGGATTAGACTATGGACTATACTATAGACTAGACTATAGATTAGATTATAGACAAGATTATAGAATAGACTATATATTAGACTATAGACACTACATACTTGACTGTAGACAGACTATGGGCTAGACTTTTGACTAGAGTCTAGTCACTAGACTATTGGCTAGATATAGAACAGACTAGAATGGAGTTTAGACTAGACTATGTCTAGTCTATAGACTAGATTATAGAATAGACTAGACGAGACAATAGACTAGACTTTAGACCAGATTACAGACTAGACTATAGACTGGATTAGATAATAGATTATAGAATAGACTAGACTATAGACTACACTATAGACAAGACTATAGACTACACTATAGACAAGACTATAGACTAGACTATAGATTATAGAATACACTATAGACTAAACTATAGACTAGTTTATAGAATAGACTAGACTATACTAGACTATAGACTAGATTATATAGACTGTAGACTAGACTACAGACTAGACCCTATATTAGACCATAGACTAGACTAAATAATCTATAGTCTAGACTATACTACAGACTTACTACTTACTATGTTTATAAGTACCTAAAATGTTATGGGGGTACTGCGTTATTTTCCGATATCAAAAAGTACTAAAGTACTGAATTTTCCATGACTGGTCTGTATAGACCTTTAGTTTGATTACAAGAAGAACATCCTTAAGTAAACTCAGAGGCATATTGATTCAGTCGTATGTAAACTTTCCGAAACAGCCAAATTAAAATATGTTTTAATTCATTCAATTTAATATTAATACACTTACCACATTTTCCACTAAACATCAAGAGAAATTTCTTCACTTTTTTTATATCGTTTCAAACTTCAATTTATTTATTATTAACATGTTGTGAGTTGTATTGTTTTCTTAACTATTACATAGATAATTTCAACTCTTTGTTTTTTTTTACCACAATATTATAAGAGGGTAATAAATTTAATATTAAAAAAAAACTTTTAGCATACATTTGTTTAGTGTATGCTTATTTATAATTTAATATAATTTATGAAATTATTTCATTATAGACGTTAAATACAATTTTTAATTTTATATTAAAAGTGCAAAACAATTTTTGTTAAAAAAGTATAATATACTATATAAGTAATGAAAATATAAGTATAATAATATGCATATACATATTTAAAATTTTTTGTGGTCATACAATTTTAAAAAAAGGATATAAAAAATTTATAATAACTAAAAACTTCATTTGAATTTAAAAGTTTGACCTAAATAAAAATTAAAATGTTTTTGTGTTAAATAGCTGCTAAGCACGGCAAAGTTTTAAAAATAAAACCATAAATTCAATTGACAGTGTAGCGCAAAAGTAAAATAAATTTTGTTAAAATTCAAAATAATAAAAAGAAAACTGAATTCCTGAAATTTAAGCACAAGTTTACCAATAGAGAGCAATGGGATTGATTTAATAAAAAACATGACATTACTAGTGTGAGAGGGGAGGGAGGGAGAAAAAAAGGCGATAAGAAAACAATTTGACACAAGGATATATTTTATCACAGCCCGTGGAGTATGCTGTGTACTGGTAAAAGTACCAACAACTCGAAAATAAAGTCTAATAAAAAAATAAGGAAATACTTAATGAACTACAAATAATATCCAAGTACGTCTTGATGATGACGTACTCCTTTGAGATTGAGTAAGTGGAGACGAAGTTCTTCAAACATGAAGTATGGCTCCGGTGTATATGCCAGATATACAAAACTATTTAAATATATATGTAGCTGCAAACAAAGCAACTAATTAAACAAAAATAAAATTAAAATAAAACATCTTGTGTTGTTGTGTCAAATATAACTACATGTTTGTGAAAGTACATCATAATTGAACAACAAATATGTAAATTGTAAGTTAAAATACTAATATAAAGTGTTTGGTTTTAAAATGGTTAGAAGGAATTGCTGCTCATAATATTTATAATAATTACAAGTATTATATCGTTTCTTTTCATTTGTTGTATGATGCTTTGCAGTCTTACTTAAGAGAAAATGTATGTTTGTTTGTATATAGTTTTGAAATGTACACTTTATCTTGTTGGCTTTGCAAGAATCAGGGGGGAAAATGTGTTACGGTCGGTTAAAGTTTCTTTGGAAGAAATAACAGTTTCAAATACTTGTCGTCGTACTATTTCTAGAAAGCAAAGTGATGTTGCTGTTAATTAACGTTCTAATATTTGCCAGTTCTTATAGAGTTTGCAAAAATTGTAAAACTTCGGGATTGGAATTGGCAACAACACTGAAATTATCGGGATAATTTTCACGAATTTCCTTAACTAAACCGACAGCATTTTCGCAGGTCTCTTGATCGACAAACTCCTTTTTGTACAAGACATGAATGGCAATGGCGAGTATTTGTTCAATAGATGGGGTAATTGCTTCACGGCATTGAATGTACAAAAGTTTGAAGCATTTGAAGATGGAAGCATTCTCATCGAAATCTTCACGCAAAGGCAAATGCTGTAATAAAACGGGCAATACTTGATTCAAAGGCACCAGGTTGCAGTTGGTGATGATAAGACGAGCAATAGCACCACATATGTTGTCCAGAGCGGCGGGTTCTTTTTCATTTGCAACAGCTTGTGACAAGGCCATTAAAATGTGAGGATAAGCTCTGTAAAAAGAGAAAGAAAATAATAATTAATTTTAAGCTAAAAATGTATTGGCATTAAAATAACTTACTCGAATGATTTTTCCTCAGCATATAAAACTAATTCGCCCAAACCGAAAACAGCATTTTGACGAGCCTGGTAGAAGTCATCAGAAAGACCATCAATCATAAGAGGACAGAAGGTATCGAAATAGGTTCCTGTGCAGCTCTTCAAAGCACCAAAACATTCAGCCAAAGCACCATAAACAAAAGCTCTTTGAGACTCAAGTTCTTCATTCTTCTTGGCCTTTTGCTGCAATAAAGTAACAAAATCAAATTATTTACAGAAAAAATGTAATTAATCATTAGGTGATCATACCAATTTAGAAACAATAATGGGATAGGCACGTCCAAAGTACATGGCAAACTTTTCAGGTTGCATGGCATGACCAAATAGTGGCAACAAATTACCAGCTCCTTCAACAATAGCTTCATCATATTCACTTTCTTCAGCGTCATCGTCATTGCCACCAGCGGGTTCATCGAATTGGCAGGCAACTTTGCCCAACAAGACATCGTTAATGCAAGTGAAAATGGTATCGGTCAACTTGTCATCGGGCAAAGCAACATGTTTCAATTCTTTCAAAATATCAGAGAAGCTTTCGAGAGCGGCCAAAACAACAGAGACTTCTTCATCGTCACGGACAATTTGACCCAATTTGGGAATTAAAATAGTAATGGCATTACCAACACCTTGAACATCATTCTGTTTGTACAAGGCAATAATAAAGGTGGTCAAGGCATCAATAGATACTTTACGAATATCCTCCTGAGGATGATCAATCATTTTGTAAACATTCTTATAGGATTGCTCGAGATAGGGAATGAAAGCAGCACCGGTATGTTGAGCAAATTCCTTAAGAGCCAAAATAGCTTCTTCTTTTTCATCCAAATAAGAGTTTTCTACACTGTAACCAGCAATGTTGTCCAAATCATCATCTTCGCCGTCGGAATTTTCAATATCAATTTCACGATCTTCATTCTCCTCATTGTCGGGAGCGGGAACATTGATAACATCTTCCTTGAATTCGGGAATAACTTCATCAGTCGAGAGTATAGAATCATAGAGACGTTCCATGATCTTAGGGAAAACAGAGGCCATTTCTTCATTGACAACTTCGGCCAGCGAAGCAATTAAATTGTAAAGAGCACGACGTACATCTGGATCATCAGCTTCTTCCAACAAAGCCAAGGCGAAAGTCATGGTATCAGTGGCCAAAGGCATGAAGTTTTGCTTGCCAATGGTACGGGCAATAGCAGCCAAGGTATCAATGGCTTGGGAACGCAGAGACAAAATATCTTCGTTTTCAGTTTTAACCAAATAAGTTTGCAACATGGCAATCAATTGTTGGAAATAAGGCATCATGTTTTCCTTGGCAGCATTGGCAGCGGCAGATATGGCGCTCAAAGACAACTCACGTACACGTACTGAGTTATTAGGATTCATGGCCTCAAACAAGCTGTAAACCATAATTATTATAAGAAATATTCCATTAAAACCACATCATTTCCGTTCAAACTTACCGTTCCATAAGTAAAGGCAAATGGGGAACTAAAGCATCCTCCAAATTTTCACAGAAAGTCTCCAAAGCATAGAACATACGATCAATGTGTTTGGGTTCTACACCACCGCTCTATAAAACAATTTAAAAGGAAAATACAATTTTTAAAAAATTTTATCAAAATTGTTTAACTAAAATTCGTTTTTCTATACATAATTTGCTAGCAGCGTTTTACGCTTAAATTGCAATTGGCTCATATACAGTATGGAATTGGAGTTTTGCTTAATGCCTGTTGGCCAAGGCTCAGACACGTTGTTTATATTATCTTGTGGCCAATAAGCCTTAAAAACAAATGCAGCATTAAGGAATAAAAACAAGATTAGAAGAAAACAAAAAAAGAGCAGAGCCAAAAACAAAAAGTTAACATTAAGAATTTTGATTAAAGGCCAAATAATACAAAAAACACATACACTAAAAGAGTCAGTGCTGCCGCGATTACCCAACTTAATAAAATTAATTTAAAAAACTGCAATATTTTCAGTTAACGCAGGCAACACTGAAGGATAATTTATAATCATAAACTAGAATGTAATCTCTATATTATATGAAAAGGACTTACCCTCAATTCGTTGCACAATTGTTGTAAGAATTCAAAGAGAATTGGCAAAATTTGTGGAGCAAATTTGGTAATATCGGGTTGCAAATGTTCGGAGAATTGTCCGAGGGCAAAGAAGGCAGCATTGCGTACAAGTGGTACGGGATCAGTAATACCAACTTTAACAATATTCAACATGGTTTCCAAGTATTTGTTGCAAATAGCTTCAGAACAACCCTCAGCAATAACAGCCATACTCAAGTAAGCGGCACGACGGGGCAAAGGATCTTGACCTTGCAAAGCAGGCTCCAACAATTGCAATAGTGGTGGGATCAACTTCTCTGGGGGAACATTCAAGGCCAACAAATCCATAGTTTGAGTGGCGGTAGTCATGGGATTGGAACTGTCTTCGCCAAGGAAGTATTCTTCATCATCTGAAAGAAGAATAATAAAATGAATTGATTTTTTATTTAAATATTCGTGAAAATTTCTGGTAAAATTGTAATTTTAAATTTGGTGAAATTTTTTGTTAAAAATTTGTTTCGAAAAATTCTTTATTAATTTTGGTGAAAATTTTTGGTTAAAAATTTTAGTGAAAAAACGAACTTACCCTCATCACCCTCTGGTTCGGTTGCCATCAAAGTAAAAACAACTTGAATGATGGGCTCAATAAGTTTCTGCTTAATGATAACCTTCTTCTTAAGGCGTACCAACCAACCAATATATGCTACAGTCTTAACACGGACAGCACTATCCAATTGTGCGTTATTTGAAGCCTCCAAACAAAAGTCCAACAACAATTTGATATTGGTGGTCAACAATTTGGGAGTATAATCGGCCATACTCTCCAAAATATCAAAAGCACGTACGAATTGATCAACATCAGGTTGTACAGCAAAAGCTTGCAATGATTTAATAATCAAAGGAATAGATTTTTGATAGGTTTGTTCGGCGGCATTGTGACCCAAAATGAATGGCACCAAATAGGTCATACCGGATAAGATGTTGAAGATTACAGGCGAGGACATATTACCGCTGGCTTCGGTAGCTACAAGGGCTGCGGTGAACATTTCACACACCGATTCCATATGGGGAACAAACTGATCGGGTGCTACATCGGTAAGCGTGGCGAAAATGGATGAACCCAATTCACTTTGTTTGGGATCAGCTGAACTGCAGTGGCTGTAGATGAACTTAAGAACATCATTCATCCAGGGATCTTTCTTATCGGCTTCATGACGCACTAAAACACCCACAAATTGGGCAATAGCATTGCGTACAGATTTTTCCTGTTCGGTGACCAAGGCATTAAGCATACCTTGTTTAATACTTTATGATAAGAAAATACATTTTTTTTTATTAAACTATTGTTTTAAAATAAAGTGCAAATGAATATGGACTTACATTTGCTGCTGTTCTGGTGGTACCATCTGCCAATGGCGCAATTTACCCAAACGTTTCTTTAACAATACAGCCGAATATTGGCGTACCTGAGGTTCTTTGTTTGATACAACAATATCGCATAGTTGAGGTATAGTCTCAGGACGCTTGTAGGCTTCTTGTAGATCAGCAGTAGCCTAAATTGAAAAACAAAAGTATTTTATTTTCGTCATACGCAGCAGACCTAAATTTTTAATTGTTAAACGACTTTGATTTTCTGCACATGTCTATAAAATTTACTTAAATGGAATCAATAAATTTGTTTTCAAATTCATGGCATTATTTATTAGCACGTGGCAACAACAAAGATTTTCTTAACTAAATTTTATATAAAAATTTTGAACATTTTATTATTGTGTATCGAGAGAATGTGTGCCAAATGTTATCTTTCATGTCTGCGTTCATAATCTTATTTGTTGCTGAATTGCTTTTTTCTTTCTTTCTACCTGCATGTATTTATTAAAATTATAATTAGCATATAGTCATAACGAATACAAAAAACAACCATTTCTCAACACCAATACAAACATTCATTCAAACCTTCTTCTTCTCCTATAGATACGACAAATGCAAACTTTTAAATTCAAATTTAAATCTTTTTCCCTACTGTGTATCGTGCCTCAGTACATGTGTGTATATGAAGTTGTTTAGCACATGAGGATGAATTTATTTGAAAATTATTCATGTGTACAGAGTTAGGCATACAATAGAATACATTGTACATATAAATTATTTTAATTATGAATTTAATTATATTTACGCGTAAATATTATTCTAATTAGTCATTTCAAGAAAAAGCAAAGCACACATTTTTTTATTACTACTTGTCTAATATTTCAAAAAAATATATACAAATTCTTTTAGTTAATTATTAATAAAAAAAAACTATTAAGATTTGTGTTGCCGACCACACCCCACCTTCTCTCTAATGTCTAAGACAGCAGATGATTGCCCAAGTGAAATGACACATCATTTGCCTGCTGCTGCAAATTTCAGAAATATTATAGATTAAAAATACAAAATTTGACTGTTATCATTTTTATTTAAGTTCAGACTGCATCTTGTGAAATCGAGTATAAACGATTAAAATAAATTTGATAATTTTGTCTGGAGCAAACGTTAACCATTCTGCGACGCTTTGATCATTTATAACTAAAAAACACCCAAACACTTTGCAATTACGTTTGATTTTGAACTTCTATAAGGATATTTAATTTTGAAAAATAGCACTTTAACATAACCTTTGATTTGATTCATACCACTTTACTATGTAAAAAGAGATTTTAAGACGCATTTTAAAAATTAAAAACAAAAAACCGTTACATTTAATTTCCTTAACCTTTTTTAAAGGCTAATTGTAATTTGATATTAAAAATGCATTTTTATCACCTAAAGCAAGGCGAATTCTAGCTGCCCTACCACAACAGCTGATTGTCATAATCTATATTTAAAAATAACGTATTCGCCCCTTTGGACTTTAATTTGTTCCCTGCACTTTCTTTTAAATTCCTCTACTTGCATATAAAAATCTTCTTCTATTATCGGAATTTGGCAACCCAAGTCATTTGCTTTTTTATTTTTTGCACTCACACACAAACGCAAATCTACACATTTCAACTACAATAAAACAAGCTACAAAAAAGAATTGCAATAAAGATAAAGATATAAAATTAAAAGAAAAATTCGCCATGAATCTTTCTCTGAAAAGCCCCTCCACGTGTTTTTTACTTTATTCCTTACTTTTTTCTTTCAAATTTTAACAAATTCAAGTTTAATTTGAGAATTACACAAGAAAAACTTACCTGCTTAATGAGATTATTGTCGGCACACAATAAATTTGCAATAATTTGCTCCATTTTTTTGTGATTTGTTATTGATGTTTCAAATTTGTAGCAAAAACTTTTGTTTTGTATTTGCAAATGCTGCTATATACAAAATTATCTGATTGTAACAAAGTATATGCAATACTTTTTACAATAAACTTATTATTTCTTATTTAAAATTAAACTTTTTCACTTTTGCAAGCACGCACCTACAAATACACGTCTTCCGGCTTGAGACGATTGTGAAAGAATAAAAAAAGAAAATTATCTTGTCTGACAAATGCGCTTCGGCTAATTTTTGTCGTTTTTCCTTTTCTTCTTTTCCCACACACACACAGAGTTGCAAAAATTCTTTCATAAATATTTGCGCGCCAATTATCGATAACGGCGTGGTGTTGCCAGCTTTTAAAAGCAAAAAGGAGGTTTGTCACAAAATATTTTGTTCAATGAATATTAAAAAAAAATATATATATATATATTTATATTTTGTTTATAACTTTAACTTATCTATTGACAGCATTTTTTTCACAAATTTCCCAAAAAATAAATTTAAAATTTTTACTGTAAAAACATTTTTTTGGAGAAATTTCGTAATTTTTATAAAACACTGGTAATACTGTTTGTATTTCTAATTTAATGCTGCCACTCTAAAGTTATAAACAAATAAGCCGAGATTAAACCCATTTGGCTACTCTATTTGCAAATTCTTCTACACATACATTTTTACGCCGCCATTTTTGAACCAAACACAAAAAATCATTTGTGAAAAAGTTTTATTTTTAAATAATAGCAAAAATAATAGAGACATTAGTCAACTATTGTTGATATCGAGTTTATTATGTTATTGTGAAGTTATATTTACAAAATTTTTATTAACAAAACATTTTATTTTAATTTGTTAACAACATGGATCATAGCTCGTACAAAGAAAGAAGCTCCTTGCGTCGGGATGACACTTCATTGGGCATTTTAAACATGGACAGTTTAAAGGGTAGAGGAAAATGTAATAAATATCTATAGGCGTGTGTTAAAATGTTCAATATTTTAATAATTTTGAATTTTCACAGTTTTTGGTGATTTAACAAGTGATTCCTTTAAAAATGCCAGTCACAGAAATGGTTCAAATGAAAGTGGCAGCAGGATAATTAATGATCGATTAAATGTAAGTTGTGTGGTTTAGAATATTAAATGTCGATTATTTTAATATTGTGTTTTCTTATATAAAGAGTGAACGTATGAAAGCCTTGGAAGCATTACAAAAATCTCATAAAGGTGATGTTTTTAAAAGGCCACTGCCAGTCAGTAACAAGGAAAATTCTAAAAGTGCCATTAACGTATCATCAAATAATCCATCGATGCGTAAGTAAAAAATATGTACATACATACTCAGAAAGAACAGGTTTAAAGGGACAAAAAAGAAAGTTATCTTTGCATAGGTATCAATCTTAATAATATTTTCTCATACTTTAGAACTAGACCACACTGATTATGTGCCCTTTCGTCGTCCCAATGCTATCAATATATCAGATCTAGTAACTGATGAAACTATAAATCTGGAAAATAGTTCTTCATGTCCACCCTCAGCATCCAAAGATGTGAAAGTATCATTTGAGCCTACAGAAATAACAGGACGTTCTACTCTTTATAATAAGGACTTAAAAAATCACAAAAATAAAGCAATGGGAGGAGGTGATGGACAAAAAACAAAGCATATGTCTGTTAGTGACATTCTGGCTTCTTCATTTGCTCCCAAGGCACGCAATCTATGTGAAACTTTACAGAGTGGCGATACTACATTGGACACTACTAGTGAACGTCATTTACAGGGCATATCAACTGCTAGCAGTTCTTTTTCAAGTTTTAATGGTTCCAGAAGCTTACCGCGTACAGCCGATATGTCCTTATCAAAGAATACCTGTACGGAGGAGTCATTTAATGGAGGTTTTGGTACATTTTCGTTTAGTTCTACTGGTGCTGGCACTGGTGTGGATGAAAGCGAAGATTTCGCACCCGGAGAACTCATGCAATCAAAACTAATCAATGATGAAATATCTTGGGCCCAAGAATACGCAGCCATACCAGCTGCCACCTTAAGTGAACAAGCTAAAGCAAAAGCCTCACGGCAGTCAGCAATTATGACAAATGGTTTTGACTCGCCCTCAAATTCAAAGTATGAGTTGAACTTATAAATCGCCAAACATGGTTATTATATATTTACTTATTAATTCCAGCTCCATGATTGCCGGTGATCCTAATTTTTCAGTTGGAAACTTTTTCAATATGCGATCAGATAACATTTGGAATATTGTTAAATCGAAAAGTCCAGATAAATGTCGTACACCTGTTGCTTTGGTGGACGAAGAAGATAATACTGTAACGACAACAACCACATCAAGTGACTTGGAGAGTTCTTCAAAAATGTTGATTACACCTAAAATTGATAATAAAACTTATACACGCGTAGGAACGCCAATGGAAGCGAAAATGTCTATACCAAGACATATCTCAATTGCGAATACTAACCATGAAAGCAAAGATTCTGGCAACTCAACGGATAACTCTTATTTGTTGAGCATTTCGGCTATTGATCGGGCTCTATGTAAGTATTAGACAGTTGAAAATTAACTAAGTTTATTAACTATGTTCCGACAATATATTTGTGAACATTATCTTAAATGTCTTATTTAAATTGAAGGATTGGGAGTTCAGCACATTAAGCATTAAATTTTTGATTATTCGATTACTACTTTAAAATAACCTTTAACTGAATTTCTTTTTTCAATAAATATTTGACTATTTAGGCAATTTAGACATTCAATCAGATGCTTCTGGCATTGGAGTGTCTGAACAATTACTAATGCAAGGAAAAAAGTCAAAATCATGTATGAATCCATATAATGAAACCGAAAATAGCAATGAAAACAATGCCGAAGCAGTGCATTTAAAAGGTCGTTCCTTAGGAACTGATATTAAGCTAAATGTTAATGACAAACTAAATGCTATGGAAGAATTAATTTTAGAAAATAAAGAAAATTTAGATCCTGAAAGCAAACGTTCCTCAAGAGGAGGTACTTTATGCGATACCATGAGTTTTAGTGAATCACTGCTCAATTCAAGCGATATGAAGAACTTACAGCGTAGCACTACACAACCACGTTCACCATTAAGTCCAATTGAAGTCGGAGCTCCCAACATACGAGTTAGTCGGGTGGCTGATGGTGGAGAAGAAGCTGACAATGATGAATGGCCTGGAACACCCATAACTAGTAATCGGCGCATGCGTCGTACTAAATCGCCCAGAGATAAAAGTCCTTTGCAAATTAGTGCAAATGCCTTGCAAGATTCGCCCGATGCAACAACTCCGGTTAATTCGAGGCCTTCCCGTGCTTATGCTTTAAATAATAAAAACAGGTCAGACAAGGAGCCAAAATCCATGTGTTCTACACGTCTCGATGGTCAAGATCATAATACGAATGCAGATTTTGGTATTTCGCCCAATATCTCAAATGGTCATCATTCTGCTAGTTCTTTAGTAGTTCGTAGTAATACTTTAAATGTTCCACAATGCGTTTCCCCCAGAAGAACGAGTCCTGGACGTTTAGACAATTCACCTTTGTCTTCACCACGCAGCTATCACATGTCTCAAGTGCCCTCTCCTACACCCAGCACCTTAGGATTCCAATCACCTAATCTTGACGCCACTTCGAATTCCGATCGTCAGTTGCTGAGTGCCGGTGCTGCTAGAAAAGTTGTATCGTCTCCGGTGGGTAGTGAGTCCTCTAGTACTTGTAGCTATGGCACCATGCAAACTTATCGAAGTGCCATATCGGGAGCTAGTGGTCGCAGTGTTTCGCGCTGCTCCAGTTCAAGTGAATTTAGCCACCGCGACGGTAAACAAATTCCTTTAAAAGTTACAAATACTGAACTTTCATGGGGTAGCATAAAATTACGCAGCGATTCCCGCAAATCAATGCAAATTAAGAATATTATTAACAAACGTTTGGTTATACGCATCGAGGTTAGTGGTCCTGGTTTTCAAATTGTCAATTCTCAGCGAAGTAACACCATAACGTTGCAGTCGCAAGAATGTCGTAGTATAAGCATTAGTTTTTGTCCCACTGTGCGAGGAGTGGCTGTTGGAAAGCTGTCGTTTTATGCACCCAGTGGGGCTCAGACAATGGGCAATTCATTTCTAGATGTGCCTCTCTATGGTTATGGTGGAAATGCCAGCATAATTGCTCAAAACATCTCTATGGGACCGGTGGGATCTCCCTTTGTTACCATGGGAGATGTGTGTGAATTGGCCCAGCCCTTGGAACGTATGGTTAGCTTCTACAATAAAGGACCATTGTTAGGATTTGCTGCAGTGTCTATAGACTCTATTGGTCTCATGATGCCTCGTCTAAGCGATGCCTTTGAAATATATCCACGTCAAATTTTAATACCCCCCAAACATATGGTAGACGTGCGTATTGTCTTTCGTCCTAAGCGTGAGGAAATTAAAAAAATTATCAAAAAAATGAGCAACGTATTGACTTTGGCAAACATGCGTGTGATTTGTGGCGACGAGGCAAATCGGCAGCGTATTCGACGTTTATTAACGCAAATGAGTGAAGAGGAACGTGCAAAGCTTTCTTCAAGTGCTTTAGATATGTTGTGGACGAAATTTCCCCAAGAATCGGAAATGTACGATTTACATGAAATCAAAGAAAATCCCAATGTAGCCATGGATATGGCATCGTTTTTCCGCATACATGAAATCTTACTTACCATCAACCACGATAATATGGATGATACGGTTGAAGCGTCCTCATTATTTTTGCCAGACGTGGATGAGACTGTTCTGTTTCGCACAATATGTGCTGCTGCCGATTCGCCAACACCACCCTCCGCCCTGGGCACTGTAGATGAAATTTACGACGAGGATATTGATGCCAAGTCTGGCCAAAATGCTACAAAGTCCAATAAGCACGGGGGTACCTGGTCGGTAAATCCTCGCACTCTGGAAATTAATGTAAACAATCAAACCTCTACCACACTACGTGTCTACAATGGATTTAAATCGCGTCAATTCTTTGAGGTGGTCTGCAACTTAAAGGACGTACTACGTTTTACACCCAACGATGGATATTTAGCACCAGATGGCGGACAAACCGAAATTGAAATCGGACTGCATACAAACTTTCAATATCCAACAGGAAATGTTTTTATAATGGTAGGTTTTTTGGTTTTAATACATTTTATTTCAAAATCTTAATACTATTTGTCTACTTTTTTAAAA